TTTGTATAGTATACGCATCAATAGCGTTTTTTTGGGCGTTTCTCGGAATTGACTAATTTGTTTGGTTGCAGATACATATCTGCATTTTAGATGTATATCAATGCTCAATCTGCCACCTGTTGTACATGTACCACTCAATCCGCAAAATTATTCAACATACATCATTTGATATAGACACTTCGGGATAAAGTAAACTCCATAGAGAATATTGTATTTCATTATAGCTAAAGTGACTACTGCCTTCAGGATTATGAACCCACCTCAAAACTTGTCAAGGAACAACTAGTACATCTTACACCAAAGGCGTTGTGGATCTTACCTCTAGCCAGCTAATGCCTCTGGGCCAGTGCTATCGCCGAATCTTCATCTACTAACATAGTCATTTGCTAAACACTAGCAGCAACTCCTGATAATTTAAGTCGCATAGACACCGTCATTATTTTCCAGCTTCCATTACGTTACGCTTTTACGAGCTTTCAAAATAAATCAAGCTATTACCCTGGACTAATATGTACGCATAAGTTTTCATATGATAATCTACCTAATTTACATTTAAGCTCGATTAGATCATACAGTACAGCCTACAACTCAGCCTATACTTCAAATATTCGTCATAGTTTTTAGCCCGAAACTAAACTGTATTCACTACAATTCAATAGTCTACACCCTCAGCCTACTTTAGCTTACAATATGTACCTTTAAAGTATTTCTATTTTATCTACTAAAGATGCAACATGCCTTTAATTTCGTATTTTTGTCCAAGTGACACAAGGAATACTAATGAATGCCAATGTTAAGGTACTGTTTCGTAAAGACCGTATCTCAATTTAACAGTAATGTGGTCTAAGGTTTTTAAAGGGATTCGATAGATTAGAGGTCTTGGAGTTGAACTAAGCTGCACTGGCTCTTTAAATCTAGATTTGCTTGTCAGTATGCTTTACGTAGTGGTTCACAGGTTTTTCAAACAAATATAGTCACTGGCTGAAATCCTAAGCGTAAAGCATTGGTACGAAGACTTGCCGGTCACGTAGAGGTTAAGCCTTACCTGGAGAAAATTCTGTGCGATGATAAATTAATCAAAATGATATCAGATATAGATGGAAAAAATATCTTATATTGATGAATCATTGAAATATTGGTAACATAACCATAAACCAGCTTATTGCTTGAAGCACTGGTATTTTCAAAAAAAAAATCATGATGACTACAGTTTAGCTCCGAGTCATTATGTCGCATCCTACAATTGGACAGCGTTAGCTTATTTAGTCATTTGTCAAATTTACAATGTATCGCAACGATAATTGCCGCCCCAGGTAAAAGTTCGAAAGAGTATGAGTGTATATTAAATTGATAGACTCGCACCTTTCTTAATATATTTACAAGAGGTGTGATGAAAATATGTAATTAATGTGTGTGTTTATGAGACACAAGTGATAATGGGTTAGAAGGTATTGCACACATCTTAGTCACTTTAACACTGGGAATGGAAATCGAAAGCTGATCGAGATGAAGATAAGTAACATGTTTATGGCACATTCCAAAGCTCCAGAGATGTTACATTAGCGCTTAGTTGACTGATTATCCTAGATGTGAAATCGAGATTTTATGTACCAAAAGACTTCACAGGCTCCCGCTAAAACATTTTTACGTTATAATATGCACCAGCAAAGTACCTGAACCGTTTAGAAGAAACAAATAAAGGTAATGTAGGAAAAAATAAGAGCATAAGGGAGAAAAGAAATCTCAATCAATTTCTGTCACTAGTATAAATGGACATTCAATTGAGTTCGTAATACAGAAAAAAACAATTTTCAATGATATAGGAACAAAGGTCTTAAATCAGTTCTTACACTTGTTTTCACTGACTAACCTGAAAGATATGATGTCATAAACATGTGTTTATATAACTCTAAACTATTATCGACTACCATACGTACAGTATATTCAGATAAGAGATAGACCGGATGTAAACAAAAGGTTCGGGTGATTTTCACACTAACGCCGCCGTCTCGACGTAAAACAGGAGCCCTCATTGGTCAATTCGCAATTAAATGCCTATGCCGAGCGGCAGAGCAGTCGTATCAAGGCAGAGTCACATTCACGTTCAGACGTGTTACGTATGTCGTGTGCATCATTGCAATTTGATATTCCTTTGGACGTTTTCGTTTGTTATCTTATTAAGTTGTTGAGTTTGTCGTTGTTATTGTTATACCTTGTTATTGATTGTTATTGTTATCAACTGCTTGCGCAAATTGCCCAGTAGTACAGATACTGCCGATGAAGTTGTAAACTCCTGTAGTCCACCTAGGAAACGCTCTAAAAAAGACACCTGAGTGCAGAAATGAAAGAGGTCATTTTGAATATATATAAGATCGAGCGCGAGGAGAACGAGGCATCAACCATCAAAGAAATTGTTGTGAAGGTTTCTCACAAAGTTGGGGTGTGTCGCGCATCAGTGTTTAATGTGTTAAGACAATACAAAAAAAATCACACCTTTTCTGAGCCAATGACCAGTAAACATCGCAAAAGTATTGTTAAATCATTGGATGAAGCTGATTAGGAGGAAAGTGCATGAATTATTCTTTAGGAATGAAATACCTACTATAGATAAAGTACTGCAGGAGGTAAATGGAGATACAACGTTGCCAAATTTCAAACGATCAACTTTCCATGCGTTACTGAAGCATTTAAATTTCAAATGGAAAAAACGGGGTCGTAATAGTTTACTACTGGATAGAGAAGAAATTGTGCTATGGAGGAGGGATTATTTAACAAAAATTAGGAAATATAGAAATCAAAACAGGAAGATTTATTACCTTGATGAAACGTGGGTAAACGCAGGACACACTACAAGTAAAGTATGGATAGGTAAATACGAGTAATAGACAACAATCGGATGTTTTTCAAACCTTGGGAACAAGGTTCTAAACATTAATTCCAGGGGGCAGATAAAACATATTACAAGTAACAAAACTTTTATAACTTTCGATAAAATGCGTGGATGTTTCATTGTCATTTTCATTTGTTAGAACTTTTTTAAGCCATGTTTTTATGTGTTCTCGATATGTCAATAATTTTTTAATATAATCTTAAAATATGTCGAATATTATAAACTTAAAAAAAGTTACTAAGTTTTATATTGTGTACCGTTCCTAATATTTCTAATCATTTTAATTCATACTTTAAGCATTATTAAGTTATAATTTGTTAATATTAATATTTGCGCGTATTTCAGGTTCCTGATCATTCATTTTTTAAAGGTTTATAACTTTAAATTAAATTATGAAGCGCTGAGTAATCATACGACGTTCAATATTCTTTCTTTCAATATGACTAAATAATCCCAATTATAGCAATCTGATACTCATGTCTCAATGTTTTTTCGCTGAATGTGATGAAAACATTTGAAAAAGGTTCGCTTATTGAAATAAATCTACACCAGTTAGTACTTCGATTTCCAGGTAAAGGGAAAAGGCTAATAATCTGCCATATTGGCAGTGAGGATGGATTTGTTGTTGACGGTCTGTGGTGCTTTGAGTCTAAGAAAACTATAGATTACCACGAGGAAATGAATGGCGAATCGTTTGAACAGTGGTTTTCAAAAATTTTACCGAACTTAGAGGAAAACGCAGTAATTGTGTTGGATAATGCGCCTTATCATTCTCGAAGAATGGAGAAGGTCCCAACAACGGCTTCAAGGAAAGTTGATGTTCAAAATTGGCTCCGCTCGAAAAATATCAACTTTGAAGAAGCAATGCTGAAAGTACAATTATTAAGAATTGTCAAGGATCACAAGGCGGAATATCAAAAATACGCCATTGACGAAATGGCAGCAAGTCAAAATAAAACTGTGCTCCATTTACCTCCATACCATTGCGAGCTCAATCCCATTGAGCTCATATGGGCAGAGGTTAAAAATTATATAGCTAAGCACAATACAACTTTTAAATTTTGTGACCTCAAGGGACTTTTCAAAGAAGCACTAGAATTAATAACAGCGCAAAAATGGGAAAACTGTATTAAGCACGTGAAAGACAAAGTTGAAAAGAGAATGTGGGAACTGGACAATATTTTAGAGGAACAAGTCGAGCCATTCATTATTGACGTTGGTGCTTCAGGCAGTAGCGATGATGAAAGCTCATCAAGCTCATCTTTCCAATAAAAGATGTCGTTCATCAAATTCGGTAAGTTATAAGTAATTATAAAGCTACTGTATTTTTTAATTAATTATTGACATTTTTGAACCCATTTTGGCAAAACCTATTCAAGAATCTACTTTCTGACAATGTTCAACCATGCACATTTTTTTACGTTTTGAACGTTTTAATTTGGTTACATATTTACCTAGAAATCAAAAAATATACTAATCAATATTCTAAAAGCAATTTTAAGAGATATACGATTATTTTTAATTTAGGCTAATTTAAACGCCATTTTGAGATTATATTCGACTGTATTTCACCAAACATCAGGCGGCATCCGAAGCTGGAAATCGAAGCGAAAATTTTGAAACCCTTATGTATATTTACATCATTATATATTTCTTACCCCACCCCCACATGATCCTATATCCATCACCAATCGTATACACATCGAATTGTGCTAATTTACTACAAAGTTACGCAAAGCAGCATCTACTATCTAAAATATGTACTGCGTGACTCTTAATACGTCCCTGCCGAATGTTACAGCGTTCGATGATCACGTGGTCTTGTTTATGTCCGGTCTATCTCTTATCTGAATATACTATAGATTGATAGTTTGGCGAAATAGTGAATCTGTATCGTAATAAAGAACAGCGATACCAGTGATATAAAATTAGATACCTAGCTTCTTCATTATTAATTCGTTGTCTGACTAAGCAGAAGACTTAGATGTGTCTGTGGCGACAGTTTATATTAAAATCACTGATCACTTGTGCCTCATTATCGCCGTAAAACAAAATTTGTGTTTAGTATACAGTGTTGTGTCATGTTAGGTTCTATAGGGGCTGTACTTACTCTGGTGGTCTGCCCCTGAGGTTGAAGGTGATGAATGTGATCTGCACGCGTTGGCCGGGCCCCGCGAGGAATGTGTATACGCAGTTGCGTGAATGTCCCCGCGGGTTCTCCAGCTCTGGTGCGTGGAAGGTGCCGTTCATCGGGTTGCCCGGACGACTCACGAATGTCTGGTCGCACTCTGTAACAAAAATGACTATTACCACATACACCTAATGCATATCTTAACGTATGCTCTAAAAGTTTTGGCACAAAATTCATTGGCTTCAATTTTAACAAATACAGAATAATATCAAGCTGCCTTTGGAAACAAAAGTTTGTTTACTTACTTTGCTGTCAGTTATATTTATTTATTTTGAGTTTTGCTTTAAGATGTCGTATAAATTAGAAATAGGAAAAGTATCTGCAAGTTGGTTGGGCGGGTGCCCAAAGCTGAAATCTGTCGAATATTCCAGAATGAAAACATTTCACGCAGATCCATTTATCGAACGATAGCGGAGGGTGAGCATTGAAGGCCATGTCTTAATCTGTCAAAAAGTGGAAGACGACATGCATTTACTGCACAGAGGTCGCTAAGAAAGGTGATAAGAGCAAAAAATCAGGTTGGAATGTCAACAAGGAGACTGGCTGGTCAATACAGATCTTCTAAGAGTACGATATCGTTGGAATTGAGGAGGAATGGTCTTAAATATCGAATGAAACTTAAGTGCCGCAAATACTCTATAGCGTAACTCGTTTGTATATCAAGAAGCTGGCGTCAAGCGGGTAAACATTGCCAATAGAAAAACCGTTATTTTAGATGAAAAGTATTTCACTTCGAGTAATTATGAAATGAACGGAAACGTCGGCTTTTATACGGACACCGTAGAGGAATGTTAGATACAAACATTAAGCGAAATTTGCAGATAAAATCCTTGACTGGTGCGCAATTTCTAACAGGGGTATATCACAACCTCTTATGGGAAGAGTGAGGGGTGAAGCTTTGAATAGTCAGGGCTATATTGATAACTGTATTTCCAAATTGTTACAGTTTTCCCACGAACATCATGTTTTGGCCAGACCAAGCATCATGTCATTACTCAAGAGATACACAAAACTGGCTTCGACCACGCAACATACCTTTGTTCCCAAAAACGACAATCCTCCAAACTTGCCGCAGTATTTACTGTCTGGAAAGGTTTATTATGGAGGAAGGCTGAAAAGTCCAAGATGCAGAACACTTAAGACGGCGAATTTACAAAAAACTGAGAGAAATTGATCTGAATTCCGTCCAGGACCTCATGAAATGCATTCGAAGAAAGTTGCGTCTGGTAGAGCAGAGTGCGCCACTCCACCTAATTCGATAGTATAGTTTAATTGAGTATTGAGTTGTAATTTATGATAACTAGTTAGTTTTTAAATAAATTCCTCTAATAAAAAAAATCCGATAAATATTTTGTGCCAAAACCTTTAGGATATTCGTTATTGAACGATTAATCGTTGGCTCCGTTGAAAAATCTGACTTTGTTTATTCCCTAATCAGCCTTTTGTCAATGCATCACCATTTCCAGCAACAAACAGTTGACAGCCCTCCTTCACCGAAACATCATAGCGACTTGTGTGCGGCTAACGACAAAACTTTAGCTGACAATGGATTATTTTAGATACGGAGCTATCAACGTCACCATGGCGTCCCGGTGAGGGAGCTTAGGGAATGGTTTATGGTGACTTCTATGACCTACCTTTATGTGTCAAAACCGTCTAATGTTGATCAATGTGTTTGAGTAACCCAAATCAAAAACAGCTGTTGCGTGTAATATTATAATAAAATGGAGTATACAACGATTGTTTTTCCTGTGTAAGAGTCAGGTGACGCTTATTTAATGCTTTCGAATCAATTTTCTGTAATTATTAAATATGAAGAAAACATTTTTCAATTTCTGATGCGTGTCATAATAAGATTTTCTCTTAATAAATTCTGCTTGAGCCACTATGAAGGCTGTTTCAACTAAAGACAACGCAGGAGATTGACGAATTTTATAGAGTTCAATTAAACCAAAAAACACCAAGAATACCTCATTGTACAAAGCTTAAGAAATAAAAAACTAACCATAATCTCTCTTATGATGTGAAAACGGTGGTGGAATAAATATTTTGTTTTATCTGCCAACTCATCAACGTTAGCAATACTGTTATTATGGATCCATCAGATCCAACGGTAAGATCAACGTCGCATCAGAGCGTTCGTAAGAGACAACACGCATGTAGTGACACAATCAGTTTCTTGAATGAGATTGACAGTATCTCAAAAGAGCAAAAATGGAGTGCAGATCAATCGAATGTTTATTTTTTTAATCTACCTGAACTTCACGACTTTTAAGCAATTTAGATCTGGTAGCACTGCACAAAAGACTACATGTTTGGATTGGCAAAGATATAAAGTTATTCCCAGTGGTACATGTAAAGGTTACATTCATACTGAAATATTTATATTGAAAATGAGGTTATTTGATAGTAGTTTTAGGAGAAATTGATTGAAGCCGATGGATCCACTACTTCAAAAACGCTTTCTGGTTGATCAATTTCGACTCGCAAAGTTAAAATAAGACCATTGTGGGGCTTACAGCTCGAACATATTCTGTTATACATTTCCTGTTGGATGACCCCAGTACAATGAATTTTCACTGTCGGTGGCTGGCTCAACAATTTAGATAGAGCAAGACAATTTATTACACCATACTTTCTTAAACTTTTTCATTTTTCCGTATGAGAAGTTCAGCAGTTCGAATCATAACAGGCCACGGGATAGAACACGGGACAGCTAGGACATTTACATATACATAGAAATAAGTATTCCCGGGGATGGAAATATATTCCTTCCATATTTTCGTCCGTGACGGGTTTTCAGATTTATTCGCTTTCCGAGATGACATGTTCAGTTTTGTTTATGACTCCTCAAGCAATATGTTTCTCCCCTCACTCAAAAAAGTCACTTGCAGAAGAATGTGGTTATTACATTGGGAGAAGAGACCGTTTTTCATTATGAAGTCCAACCCTGCTATTTCGGTTTCGGTTTTTCTATATAAAAAGCGAAGAATGTTTTCGTTAATCAACACGATCAGTAAAATTCTTATTGGTTCCGCGCGGTGATGGCTTACTTGGAACTCCAGTATCGCAGTTCTATTTAGAGAAAAATGGAATTTTCAGCCCGGAGTAAGTGAGGTTTTATAAAATGGCAGTGCCATTTCAATAGATTTTGGTCTGATATTTTTCAAATGTTTGCGCATATCTTGCAATTTCCGTCAGATTGACTCTTCTGTTTTGACACTTGACATTACTTCACTTGTTATTGCTAAGTGGCCAGCTACATTTTCATGCTCAAGAAGGTGCAATACTAACATTATACAGGATGTCCGCAAAGTTGGGGTTTTCCTTTTCAGAAACAACTACCCTTGAAATAACAAAGGTAATGTGTAGTGAAACGAGGGCGACCAAGTGAAAAAAAATAAAGGAAAAAGTACTCACTCTCCAGTTGACGAGAAGGGCTAAGTACGTCTCTGCCCGAAATCATACGGCTCCAACAGAAAATGAAATCAGCTGATGCGCTACCGAGCAGACGCAGAAACCACATTGATTGTCTTACACTTAATGGCACATCTTCTAACAAGGAAGGCAAAATGTTGCGTAAAAAGTCTAGGTGTTGCATCCCGTCCAATCGATTTGGGAAAATAAATGGTCCAATGAGCATACCGTTCACCATGCCAGCCCAAACATTCACCGAAAATGTTTGTTGAAAATGTGCCCGACGGACAGCGTGCGGATTTTCTACTGACCAAACATGAGTGTTGCGAAAGTTATTCACCCCATTACTCATGAACGTAGATTCGTCTGTCACCAATATGCACTTCAAAAAGTCCGGATCATTGTCATGTTGATGCAACAACCACTCACAAAACCGCACTCTTGCTGGAAAATCGTCAGGTTGAAGGGCTTGTACACGTTGGACGTGAAACGGATATAGCCTCTCTTCACGCAGCGTTTGCCACACTTTAGTTTTTGATACTTGCACTTCTCTAGCCACGTCTCTAGTGCTTGTTGAGGGATTCTCGTCTACGCGATTACATGCGTGACCGTAACCGTCGGTTGAAGGTTGCATACTGACCTGACACACTGACTCCGACCCAGTTCTGCCGTCGGGTTAAGACCTTGTACCAATCGGTGATGTCCCGGGTCGCGGCTACAGGACGCTATTCAGATATTGTTGATGTTGCAGAGCCCTTTATCTCGGTTCCCTTAAGACATTGGTGTATATGGTACTAAGAAAAATTGCTTATTCAAATTCAAATTCAAATTCAAAATATTTATTTCGTCATGAATAAACATCAAAAACAAAAGAAATTCTACATATAGAGTAATGACGAAAGAGGACAGTCCCTCGATTATAAAACCGATACATTGGACCCTTTAATACAAAGAGTCCATGCGAGAAAGCCCTGAATACCCTAAAAGTTCTTAAAAAAATAACAAATACAATAAAGAGGCAAATGAAGAGGCGGTGAAACACAAAAAAGGCAAAAACGAAGAGAGAACCCCCGGGAGTTGGCAACGGACGCGAAAAACAAATCTATACAACTTGTCAGCGAGTAGGAATGTAAAAACGTTATTTTTGCTCACCCAAACGCTGCTAAAGTAGCTGGTGATTCTGTAACAACGTTTTTGTCAGTTTTGAGAATGTTTTTGACGATGAGCTTTTAACTGAAGTTGGTAAATTATTCCATAAGTGAACCGCCACATAGGCAAACGATTGTCGGAAGGAACGCGTTCTATGCCTAGGTACGATAAAATTGAGATTATTTCTACTTCTCTGGGCACTAGGCAAAGGCACAAATCTTTCTCTTAAATAGGGCGGTTGACCTGTTTTTATAACCCTATAGATAAAAGAATACATGTGATATTTTCTGCGATTCGTCATGTTTAATATGTTGTAGTTATTCAGATAAGGAGTGATATGGTTTCGATATGGAATTCCAAATGCAAATCTCATGCAACTATTTTGAACTTTTTCTATGCATTTTTTGGTTCGCGACGATAGCGAATCACCATAGACGACATGTCCATAGTCAAAAAGTGATAAAATTAAGGTATTACACAAATAATATTTTTGTTTGGCTGATAAATGTTTTTTTAATTTG